CAGCTGGGGCCACCTTGGGCCAGTGCTACCGCTAGGTGGCGACATCCGAACCCTGCCCCCACCAACCATCGAGCATCCTGAATCGATGGGGGGCGGGGACAGGGTATAGATTTCGTCATGTGTTCGACGAAATCCGAACCTTACCCCCGCCGCCCATCGAGCTACTTGAATTGTTGATCAGCGAGGGTAGGATTCGGATTTCGCCGCTAGAGCGATTTCATTGTTCGCGATAGCGGCCGTTACCAGCACTGGCCGCCCCCCCTTCCTCCCCGGTAACGTCGCGATTCGTGCCGACGTTCGAGTTCTGTTGGGCGATTCGTGCCGACGTCCGACGTTACCAGCCCCTCTTCTTCTTCTTCTTCTTCTTCCTCCTCCTCCTCCTCCTCCTCCTCCTCCTCCTCCCACTCCTCCTCCCCCTCCCCCCACTCCCCCCACTCCTCCTCCTCCTCCTCCTCCTCCTCCTCCTCCTCCTCCTCCTCCTCCTCCTCCTCCTCCTCCTCCTCCTCCTCCTCCTCCTCCTTCTCCTCTCCTCCTCCTCCTCCTCCTCCTCGTCCTCCTCCTCCCCCTCCCCCCCCCGCAACGCCCGTTATCGCCGAGAGGTATAAGCACGCTCTCTTGGGCCCGGGCCACCTCCAGCAACACCCGAGAGCAGTGCTCCTCTTGGCTGCACGCACAGGGTGTATAGGGGGAGGGGGGGGGGAAGGCTTCTCAGAATGAGGCTGCCTCTCAGAGGGCGCGGGCCCTACAGTCGGGACGTTGACCTAAGGCACCCCAAATAAGGAACGAGGCCCCTTTTTTCCATAAGTTAACCTTCGATCTGCTATCGAAAACATGAGGAACGCCTGAGGCAAGCTGTGAAACACTTAAGGAACGCGGAGCCCCAACGAAAAGGGTTCCTTCTTCAGGGCCCCGACCGTACGTCTACAGACACGGCCCCCGCCTTCTACGAAGCGGGGGCGCTTCTAAGAAGCCTCCCCCCCTCCCCCTACAGCACCCTCTGCGCCCAGACCCCCAGAGCTTCGACCCACATGCCCTGGGACCGGCTTTTTTCATCCCGAGCCGTTTCTCGACGGCCCCGAGGCCCGGTCAGGGCCCCCCGAGGCCCCAAAAATGGCGACCAGCGCCTCCCGTCGCGCTCCTGTCCTTCCTCGAAGGGGGGTCTGGGCTTTGTTAACCAGCCTCGAACGTATCCCTATCCCTAAGATGGGCGAACAAAAAGCGAGGACAATCTTAGGGATAGGCCCTCAAAAACTGAGGGGATCCTCAAGATCGGCATCGAGGTGAGGTGATGTCAAAGATAGGGATAGGGAGATGTTCCAGGCTGGTAGTCTGTGCGTGGCCGCCTCTCGCCGAGCTCCGCGGCCAGGCTCCGGCAGCTGCGCGCGGCCGCCTCGGGGCCCGACGGCGCCCGCGCCCGCGGCGGGGGCTCCGCGCCGGCGCCGCAGCAGGCGAGGAGCAGCGGCAGGGCCCGGGGGCGCCGGCCCCGCGGGGCGGCCATGGGCCCGGCCGGCGGGGCAGCACCGACTTTCGTAGGGGGGGACGCGCGAACCGCACGGGGGAGGGTGGGGGTAGGGCTCGCATGTGGCCCCCCGTTTCGGCGGCAGCTCACGGGAGCCGGGGCTGGCAGCAGAGGCATCCCTGGCCTCCGGGGGGGGGGGCCGAAGGGAGCCAGGAGGGCCAGGAGCAGCAGGGACACGGGGGGTCTTGTTCTGCAGGTGCATCGGAACAGGCCGCCCAGATGTGCTGGCCCTGATGCAAAGACGGGGACCCAGGTGAGGCCACGTCTTCAAAGGGCTATATCAGCCAGCGTTGACTCCAAAAAGATAGGAGGACAGGAGGAGGACGAGAGGAGGATGGGAGGAGGACGAACGGAGGACGGGAGGAGGACGGAAGGAGCGTAAGCAAGCAAGCGGAAGCAAGCAAGCGGAAGCAAGCAAGCGGACGCAAGCGAACGCAAGCGAGCAATAACAAGCAAGCAAGAGCCAGCGATCAAGTACAAGCACGCAAGGGCAAGCAAGAGCAAGCACGCGATAGCAAGCACGTAAGAGCAAGCAAGCAAGAGCACGCAAGAGCAAGCAAGGGCAAGCGACTCATAGGAATCCATAGGACTCGCCATTGGAAATAGCTGGGGGGTGCCATTGGAAATGAGGGGGGGTGCAAGGTGGCATTGGAAAAAGGGGGGGTCCTGAAGACCAATTACGTATGATGAGCAAGGACTCCTATAGAGCAAGCCTATTTGGAAAACTGCAATGAAAACTCTGTTATCATCGATGGTGCCATGCAATCTTGCTCGCTCTTGCGAATCGGCGCTAACCGACGCTAATCGACGCTAGCCGGCGCACGTCGGCGCTAAGACGGCGCTCTCTCATCGACTGCCAAACGCTAGCGCACGCGGATGCACTCGAAAGCCGAAATTAGAGGACAACGTTAGAGGCCTCCCAGATAGGGCCCGAGAAGGTGGGGTCGGCGGATCGCGCCGCATCGCTGCATCGGCGAAGCATCGGCGATGAATATGCGACGTCGGCGATGCATCGGTGCCGTCGGCATGGAGAACAATGGGCTCCACATCGAGCCGCATTGGCGATGCATCCGCGATGCGGCGCGATCCTCCGACCCCATCTACTTCCACCTCAATCTGGGAGGCCTCGAGACAAGCATGGTCAAAAGCAGGGCATTGTGCAGCGAGCTCGCGATCTTGAAGACGATCTCGAGGTTTGGGGAGCGTGTGCATGTTTTGATTCCTCCGCGCTGATTTTTTCTGTTCAAGAAAAGGGGGTCGTTCGTGGGGTTGGGGGTGGCGCTACCCGCCTCCCTCGAAGGCCAGGCCGCCAGGCAGCCGGTATGACAGTCGCAGGGTCCCCATGACTGCTGCTGTCCAGGGCAGGCGGTGCCGCGTCTAAGGTGGCTTTGCTTTACTGGGTAGGAGGCAACCGTGTGGGACGCTATCGGCTCTTTCTTATCGGGTTGGCTCTGGTCGTGTGGGCCCTTTGCGCCCCCGCCCCCGGCAGAAGCGCATATATCACAGAGTAGGGTCTTCCGACCCGGGGCTCTGCGGATTCTCTATGTCTTTTGGGAGTGCGATCTGGGAATGTATTGCTCGGTTGGAAGAAACTGGACATGTTGCCCCCCCTCGTCCACACACGCACACACACACACTACCCTACACACCTACATGGAACACCGGATCCTGAACAAAGAAAACTATGATCTACAAAACTGTCGTACACAGCCGTGAGTTTTCCAATTGGGCCCATCAATTTGACTACAGAGGGGCACCATTGTCGTCGTCGGCATCAGCTCCGTCACCGCCATCTCACCGCCGCCGCCGTCGTCTTCGTCACCGTCACCGTCGTCGTCGCCGGCGTCGTCGATGGCACCTTTCGGCTACACGTAAGAGTAACCATTCGCAAGAGTGACCTTTCGTGCGCGGCTTTAGGGGCCTGCCGGGGGCCCAATTCCAAGTGCGCAAGCCAGTGCTCGGGGATCACGGTGGACAGCAACAGAAACCACTACGGCGAAGGGGTCACGCTTACGAGGAGCCGAACCGTAATGTTTTCGAACGTCATTTCGGACTGGCGATCCCCAGACCACGAGTACTTAGATAGAGAAGGGGGCCCTGACGTCGTGCACACCCGTGCACCAATGACGACCACAGCAAAACCAGGCAAAACCTCGTGAGCTAGTGCACGTAGCACGCCGCAATGGCGGACAGGAGTGTTGCGGGATGGGTCGCGGGGTGGATCACGGGGTGGATCGCGGAATGGGTCGCGGGGTGGGTCGCAGGTGGTTCGCGTGGAAGACGGGTGGGTCGCGGGTGGGTCGCGGGGGGGACGAGGTCAACAAACAGCAACAACGAGCAACAACAAACAACCAGAATCTGGGCCAGGGAGTCCCACTCCACCCATGCAACAAGGGATGGTGTTAGAGCGTTCGGCCCCTTCACTCTGATCAGCCCTTCAAAGCAAGCGTTGTTTCGCAATTGCTGAATCAACTGCGTTAGGTTACTTCCGGCCGGTACAACACAACGCCCCGGTCGCAATTACAGTAGCCTGTCGAAGGCCGAACCCTCGGAGCCGCGTGTAGCGCAAGGCTTGGCCCTGACTTCTTATCTTGGATTGCGCGTCGCAGGGCAGTGTGGATGGGCGGCTGCGAAACAAGCTCGCAGAGGCATGCTGAACTCCCCGTGGAGCGCGAAACGAATCAGGGATGTGACTAAACCTGCAAGGGACGGTATTCGGGTGCCCCCACTTGTGCCGTGGGTAGAGGTCCTTGCGGGGCACGAAGCGTTTGATGGGCTTGTCTGAATAATACCAGCAGGCGCCACCACTGGTGCCGTAGGTAGAGCTTCCATGGAGCACGAAACGTGTGAGGTGTGCCGAAATTGGCGGGGGGACGCAATGAGGGTGTCCTTTCTGGTACTGCCCCATGAAACGCGGCACGTATGAGCCGTGCGCCGCCGACATCATCGCGGGGAAGCCATGGAGGAACACCCACTGGGGCAAGATGTGGAGCCCATTCTGGGGCAAGGTTCGTGTAAGGGAGTGCCCCCACATGAGCGCGTGGACGCAATGCGGACGCACCTACTGAGGAGGCGGGTGATCTCTTCATGGGGCGCGACTCGCGTGAGCGGTGTGCCAAAACGGGCGCGGGGCGCCATGCGGACGCACCCACGGAGGCCAGAGGTGGCACGTGAGAGTGTGGCAAATTGGTGGCACGAAACGTGTGAAAGATGTGGCCACTGGTTCAACGAATCGTGTGATGGTGTGCCACCAAAGGCGCGGGACCGTCGTGCGAACGCACCCACTGAAACCGCAGGTGGGGATCCGTGTGGGGCATGAAGCGCGTGAGAGGTGTGCCAAAACGGGCGGGGAACGACATCCGAACGCATCCACCAGGGCCGCAGGTGGAGCTCCCATGAGGCGCAACAGGGTGTGAGGAGTATGCCGAAATGGGCGGGGAACGGCATGCGAACACACCCGTTGCGGCTGCAAGTGGAAGTCCCTGCAGGGGACGGGACATGCGTGTATGCGTATGTGTGCATACGTGTGTACAGGTATACGTATATGAACTGGCATATGTGTATATGTATAGGTTCATTCATGCGTGTATATATATATATATATATATATATGTACTTGTTTGTGTCTTTAGGTGTGGATGCGCATGCGCATGTCTGTGTATGTGTACGTGTCTACGTTTTATGTACATGTCCATATAGGTATGACATGGTGTGACTATGTAAATATGGCTACATGTGTATTTGTATGTGCAGATGTATGGGTTACGTGTACATATGGATGTATACAGGCGCACGTGTGTTTTGTGTTTTGTGTGTATGTGTGTTTGTGCGTGCTCGCGTGCGTGGTGCGTGCGTGTGTGTGCATGCGTGTGTGTGTGTGTGTGTGTGTGTGTCTGTGTCTGTGTCTGTGCGGGTGCGGGTCAATGTGTGCGTGGGTGTGTGTGGCCATGTGCGCGGGTGCGTGTCAGCGTGTGTGTGTGTGTGCGCGTGTATGAATTTGTGTTTTAGGGGGGATGTACGTCTGCGTTTGTGTTTGTGTGGGCGGGAAACGGGCGGGGAACGACATGCGAACGCATTCACAGGGGTCGTATGTGGAGCTCCCTGTGGAGCAAGGAACGTGCGTGGTGTGCTGGGATGGGCTGGGAACGGTTTGCAAACGCACCCGCTGGGGCCGCAGGTGAAGTTCCACAAGGTGCAAGAAACGCGCGAAAAGGTGTGCCGAAATGAACGGGTGCCCTCATTGGGACTGGAAAAAGAGAGAACTACCTGTGGGGCCATAAACGCGCGAAGAGCGATACGGAACACGCTCAACCCGCATCATAAGGATGCGCGGTAAGGGTGCGAGTGCCTTGGAGGGCCACTTTAGCGAATTTTCGAAAGAGATTGGCCAGCGAGAGTCGCTAAGGACGGGCCGCAGGGGCAAGGATGCATGGGTATCCTTTGGAAGATTGCTAATCCTTATTATGCGGGTTGTTTGTCAGCGAAGAACGGCATGCGAGCGCACTCGTTTGGGCCGAAGGTGGAGCCTCCTGTGGCACCTGTGGGGCACGACGCGTGCGAATGGTGCGACCACATCGGCGCGGGGTCGTCGTGCGGAAGTATCCGCTGGGGCTGCAAGTGGAGCTCCCTGTGGGCCACGAAACGCGCGAGGTCACTCCGCGGAACGCGGGTCCGCCTCGGGCCGAAGGCGACAGCGGCGCGTGATCGCCAGCTGCCGCCCTCCAGCGCGCTCGTCGAGCAGCGGCGCGCCCCCTCTCAGAGGGGAAGGCAGGCGATGTAGTACATCGCGACGCTGAACTCGGAGGCCACCAGATCGGAGCCGACATGGTTGAGCAGCCCGTCGGGCTTCGCCGGAAGAATATCAGACGCGCGGCCTGCGGACTCAAAGCGGCGACCCAGCTCAA